TGTATACTGTTACATGCACAAAATGTTTTTCCCCGACTTTTTTTTTTCAAGGCTTTTTTTCCTGGATTCATTATATGGAAATAATTACTCACCAGAAAAAACGTTTAGAACTATTTCCGTGGCATCAATAGAAAGATGACAACACTTCCATTTTCCTGTTTCCTGTTTGTCCAAATTTATTTTAGAAGAATACTGTTGAACATTAACTATTTCACTCATTTTCACTACGTATTTTAATCGAAACCTCAACCAAATCGCATAAACTTTGTAGCTAAACTAAAGTTATGAGGTAAATTCCATACCAATACTACCCAGGGCAGGATGCTTTCGTGTTCAGTTTTCCTCTGCCACTCGCATGATGTCACTCATAGCCTGACTCTCATTATGGAGAAGTATCTTTACTTTACGAGTTACTTTTGCTGTAAAATTGATCTCTGGGATTTCCGGAACGAATCTTGCGGGAAAGGTTTTATACATTTAGTTACTCTTTCCTCTTGCTATGATGCAACCACTTTTTGTCTTTAGGAAAACTACAAAACCTAACGTCTTTGCACGCATTCCGTTTAGATTCGTTGTTGGAATTACATTCCACAATAACACACCGCATTTAACTTCTATAACCAAATATGCACGATATACCCAGCTCTACAATTGATTAAAAGCACAACGTAAGCACAGTCGCTATAAGTGACGTTGCTTAAGGACCGCCGACTGTGCACGACATCCTACCTTTACTTGGGTATATCGCTAGTTATAATGCACATCCTGAAATTGAATGTTTTAATCCCAAAGGTACCTTACACTTTTATTAGGTACTTTCACTTTTATTACAATGTTATTGAGATAATCTTTTTTCTGAATACGAAAATAGAAATCCACTTGTCTCAGCGTTTTTTTTAAAAATTATGAATACAATTGTTTATCAAACCTTTAGTATTATTGAGAGATTTCAAATCCTAAATTTCAATTCATCAACTATTTTTTTCCGAAACCTCAGAGTCCTTAACCTTTTTTATTGCACAATATAATCTGACAAACATTCTTACGAAATATTAATATTATGTTTGTTCTCCAAAAAGAGAACAAACATTTTTAAAGTCCATTTGGAAGCACCGTACCTATTCCAGCTAATACACAACCTTCCTTCGTGTGTAAAGCGAGACGATTTTCTACTATAAATTGCAAGAGACTGTAGTTTATATATTTTTTCTAATTTCCAACACTTTTAGGTTGGCTTAGCTTGATAATTTGGAAAAAATATATTATCTAAAACCCAACTGCCATTTTTTAAAGATGTTTGTAAGTAAGCACGTTTCACTGTTGTCAATCATAATGAATTTTACGATAATGGATTTACCTTGTTACATGCCGGAGTTTATTTCTACTCATATGTGATGATGTTTTATATCAGGAGTGGCCAACTTTTCTGTATAAAGATCTTTTTATTATCCTTAAATTGTGTCGCGATCGACTTGATAAGGCGTATTTTAAAGGGGAAGAAGGGGTATGAAATGCATACTATTTTTATACACTGTGTTTTAGTATAAGGTGCATTCTAGCGAAGTATGGGTAGATAAGTTTTCGAGATATAGGTTCATGAAGAAAATAAATTTCCAGACTTAACTTTTGTTAGCAGCATTCCATACATACAGTACCTAAAAAAATCGATTTTCCAACACTTTTTCAAGATAAATTTTTACTAACATAAAATGCAATTTAATCAACTGCAATGTATAAGTTGTTGTACTATTTGTTCTAAATAAGAAAAAGTTGTTATAAAAATGCACAGTATGGCTGACAATATGATTTCAGTATTTCACTATCGCGTTTTTTGGGCCACATCTACATTCAAGAAAAGCTCTGCACTTGGAAGATTATATTTGTTTGAAATAAAGCAGAGTTTGCTTCAAATAATATTTCTAGATACAATGAGAAAATAAATGATGAGTGAAGTGTAGGCATAATTTGTATTTTAAGATTTATAATAATTAATTTAAGAATAAATATTTTATTCGAGTCTAAAATTGTTAATTAATCTAAGAAAGCTCTTGCGTTTGTTATAAGTATGATATGCTTTTAAAACCGACTATCACGTACTTGATTTAATGTTATAATAGGATTCGATTCAAAGCATTTAAATTTCAGAACAAGAATTAAGCAATTAGAAACCTATGTACTTCACAAAATATTAGCGAGTACAAATTCACTGCACGATGTTGCCAGCTGAAACTTATTTTAAAATGCAACCACTGCACTGGTACGGTAGATATATGACTGGTACATGTTGAGGTGTGATACTTATTATTCGGAGAATTTGGCAAATTTGTATTAGCACGTGTTCATCTTATTGTCCATTTTCTAACAAGTTTATGTCGTATAGTTAGGGTTGCGTTTTACTTTTTCTTAGAAATTCTTTATGATTCAATTAATAAGTTTATGTATAAATTAAATTGAAATGGAGGATTTGTTAGATGGATGGGGCCTCAACGACTTGATACCTGATATTTGTAAGTATATCTAGTTCACTTTTTGTTGGGTGCCTATTATAATAATATAAATAAGTAAATTTATAATCATAAGAACACGAAACAGATTGGAATAAAAGTAAAAAAAGATGTATGATGCTGGATGACGAATTTGACGACTTCTGTCTTGCTAAGACAAGAGTCGTATCTACGAAAATTCCGATTACAAGATTCTTACAAATTTAATAAGCTTACATTTTATTTTATTATGAAACAAAATAATACAGGCCTATTTTCATTAGAAAATATACAAAATTTATTTACGAAGTCTAAAATGACGTAATTATCTACCTACTCACATTTACTAAAAAATATTCATTTTGTAGATACGACCTCTTATCTTAGCAGGACAAACTTTTATATTTCATTTAGGTTTTGTAGTTGTGAAATATTTTTTTTTAATTATAGGTGGGGCACCACAGAGAATTTGGTACATTAACTAAAAACAATTTTGACAGGTACATGTTAGAACCCAATTAGGAAGCAAGGACAACTTTTTCTTATTTCGAGATTAATAATAATAATAATAATAATATTTTTATTGACCATTTAAAATACAATATTTGAAAAAAAATAAAATACAATTTAAAAAAAAAACTAAAGTACCAGAAATAAACATGGTCAAAAGGTCCTAAGATCAGCTCAAGCTGTTCTTCCTCAAAGGCCTGCAAATGTAATCTAAACTAATCTAATAGGGTGTAACACATGTATATAATAAACAGAACTAAAACAAACAAAAAAGTACTATGGGCCGTTTGCATCGCTGGTCATCAAGAAACAAAAGACTTTTATTTTTTAAGGAAAGATAATAACGACGAGCGGTGCCGATGGATCCTAGTAATTTATATAAACTAAACAAAATCAAATTACAAACTTACAAATTTGTGAATTGGTCATCATATAATATTTTAAACATTTTTGTTTTAAATGATGCTATGGATAAATTAATTAGGGAAACAGGAATATTATTATACTCCTTCGCTATCTGGTATGAGAACGAGTTTTTAAATTGTTGTGTTTGGTGTTTTGGAATCTCAATAGAATTTTTTTTTCGTGTATTTCTACTATGAACATCAGAACGATAAATAATTTTATTCCAAAGATATGGAGGACTTTTTTTAATTAAAATTTTGTGAAACAGGGTTAATGAATGAAGTTTTCTCCTATTTAACATATTTAACCATCTGGCATTTGCTAGTGTGTAGGAAATTCTATCAAATTTTTTAATTCCATATATAAGTCGAAGGCAGGCATTTTGTAGTTTTTGTAACCTATTTAAATCTGTTACTGAAAGACAAGGTCCATATACAAAATCACAATAATTTGCATTACTTAGAACGAGAGAGTCACAGAGTTGTATCTTTAGTTTTTTGTCAAATAAATGTCTGCTATGATATAAAGTTTTTAGTTTAAAAAAGGATCTTTGTAGAACATAAGAAACATGATCTGTGAATTTCAGTCAATTGTCTAGTATTATCCCCAAATTTTTTGCTTTTTGAACAGTTGGTAGAGCCACATCATTAATTTTTATAGACACGTTAGAAGAAGCAGCTCCAAAAAACATAACAGCTGATTTTTCTGAATTAATCACCAAATTATGTTGGGTAGATACTTTCACCAAGGCATTTAGATCGGTATTTATTTTCTGAATGCACTCTGATTCATCGTTTTTGTTAAAAAACATATATAACTGCGTATCGTCAGCATACATATGAGCTTTGCAATATTGTAAAACCGAACACAAATTGTTTGTATATATTGTATAAAAAAGAGGGCCTAGGATTGAACCTTGGGCTACTCCTCGCCCAACTTGCTCTACGCTAGACGATACACCATTATATAATACTTTCTGTGTTCTTCCCGACAGATAGTTTCTAAGAAATATTATTGCGGTTGGTCCTAAGCCAATAAAATGCAAAATGGATAAAAACAATTTGTGATCAAGCAGAATTAATAAACCAACATTTTTGGCGTCGGATTCCTTCAGAAAGTCATCCGTAATATTTAATAGGGCCGTACCACAGCTATATCCCGATCTAAATCCCGATTGTGTGAGTGGTAGAATTTTATATTTATCAATGTGTTCTCGAAGTTGTTCCTCTACAACTCTCTCCAAAACCTTTGAAAGTGTAAGCAGAATAGTTATGGGACGAAGATCATTTAAGTTTTCAGGAGAAGTGACTTTTGGAATAGAAAGAACTAGTCCCTCTTTCCATATATTTGGGAAAACAGAATTTTTTAGACAAAAATTTATAATGTAAGTTATATGTGGAATTAGGTAGGGACAAAGAAATCTAATTAATGTGACATTAATTCCATCGGTTCCACAAACTTTTTCTTATTTCGAGATTATTAATTTCTTCAATGAAACTATCCTATAATTCAACCAAAATGAATATATTTTTGTCAAAGCTAATATTAATATTTCTTAGAACAGTTCATATTATTATTGTAACAAATTTAGTTGTATTGGATTTAAAAACAAGGTATTATTGAATATAATTTATATTAAACTTGAATCAACCGTTAAAATGTATTTTGTTATACAATAATAATGTTTCTTAATAATAATGTTTTATTGATTGAATATAAAGTATATTTAAAAAAATTGTAGAAAATTCAACCCTACCTTAGAATTTTTGGCTCATTTTGAAAATTATTTAAGATTTAAGATGTACATAATACTGCAATTGAGCGATAGATACTCTTCATTTAGTTAGAGTTATTTTAGTTAAGGCAAGTTGATTTTAATCTTGAAGCAAGGCTTATTAGCTATTGTTGAACAAGTATTACTAGAATTTCAAATCGAGACGAGTTTTACTTGCGGATATATAAACACAACAAAGCATTGAAATAAAACCATCTTTTCTGTAAAAAGGCACAACTATTATTAAATAATAAGGAACAGAGAAACGGACTAATTTAAGCAAATCTTCACAATTTATCTGACCATTAAGTAACTTGTGTAGAAGAACAGTCCTGCCTCCTATCGTCTTCGTTCCAAACTTTGAACCCGATACAATAATAGTCTTGTTTCGTAAGCAGTTCTCTGGGATGGAAAGCGTAGTTTATTTCTAAAATTTATTTTTGTACATTTTCAAGTCTATTACTGTGTGTGGTATAAGATGGAGACAATATTATGGAACAGTATTTAAGATTACTGCACACCAAACTGGTATATAGGCACAAAATTGCTCGAGTATCCTAAATGTTCCTCTTGATGAAGCCAAGTAGCCTAAAAACTTTCAGAATAACACACAAGGATAACGTCTTTTCCAGTAGGACCCCAAGGTCATTAATTAATGAAACTACTTCCAGAGAATTTCTATTTATATAATAAAGAGTATTACTTAGACCAGAGCATACTGGCGCATTCGTTTGCAAAATTGTTTTAATTTCTAATTTTTTACTTTCCTATCTGTATACAGATATAAGGAAAGTATAGGAATCATGATTTTTTTCGACCTCGAGTTTTCGACGGATTTTTACGTTTTGAGGTCCCCTGAATCCGTTTTGACTATTTTCGCGATGATGTCTGTGTGTGTGTCTGTGTGTATGTGTGTGTCTGTGTGTATGTGTGTGTCTGTGTGTATGTGTGTGTCTGTGTGTATGTGTGTGTCTGTGTGTGTGTCTATGTGTGTGTGTGTTTGTGTGTGTTTGTGTGTGTTTGTGTGTGTTTGTGTGTGTGTGTGTGTATGTGTGTGTGTGTGTGTGTGTGTGTGTGTGTGTGTGTGTGTGTGTGTGTTTGTGTGTGTCTGTGTGTCTGTGTGTCGCATAACTCATGAACCGATACACAAAAAAACACCAAATTTTAAACTTAAGCTTTGTTCCAGCGTCCAATAAGCTGATTATATTCTGGGCAGAGTCGGAACATCTAGGGGGGTACTTTATAGGGGGTCATTTTTTTATTTTATGAAATATATCTGTTATTTACGTTTGGGGAAGAAAATTCTTTAAATAAAAGTTACTCCTTATATTATTATCTAAAATTTGTTTTATACAAAATTCTCCTAAAATGGTCCGTATTCGAGAAATTTGACAAAATGTAAAAAAATATTTATTTATAAAAATTGTTTAAACAAAAGTTGTTTATAATATAATTCTCTATAATTTTTATCCTCAACATACTTTCTCTAAAATGGACCGTATTCGAGATATTTGAGAAAATGTGTAAATTTCGAAATTTGAAGAAACCTCAAAAACGGATAAAGAAAAAAACATTAAATTTGAAACTTAAGTTTTGTTTCGGCCTGACGTAAAATAATTAGATTTTGGACAAAGTCGGAACATCTGGGGGGTATTTTATGGGAGGCCATTTTTATATTTTATGGAATATATCTATTATTTATGTTTGGAGAAAAAAATAGTTCAAATAAAAATTACTTCAAATATTATTATCTATAATTTTTGTTTTATGTCAAAATTTCCTGAAATGATCCGTATTCGAGAAATTTGACAAAATGTGCAAAATTCTGATTTTTAAGAAAATTGTTAAAATAAAAGTTGTTTGCGATATCGATCTCTATAATTTTTATTTATAAATGATTTTTCTAAAATGGACCTTAATTGAAAAATTGTAGGAAAAGTGCTAAGTTTTAATTTTTTAGTATTTTCGTTTTCAATGAATATCTATAGAAGAATGTTTCGAGGTAGATGTATGTGGAAAATGTATATTTAGTTTATCCTCTAAACATTTATGGAGGTGCTGCAATAGGTTGTACAAAATAACCGGAAAAAGCCTGTAATAACTAGATAGGAAAGTCATGTGTTGGACACATCAGATTTTTTTTTAAATGTCCGGAAGGCTTTCCTGATTATAAAAGTGTAAGATGACACTTGATATTTGTTGATTTTATTGTTTAAACAACAAAAAATTAATTAAGCCAGAAAAAATGCATTTTTTGCAATGAGTTAATTTTTTTTATATTCTTTAGGATATTTCGAATAAAAAAGGTCCTACGCCCATCATCGTATCTTCAACCATTTAATTGTTATAAATTTTTTTAAATACAAAATTGACGAAAATTCTAATTTTATTGAATTAAATAATGTACCTTAAAATTTAAAATGCTATAATCTTAAATTTTTTACCGAATATTCAACCTATAATAAACAGCATTACCTAAATAAATTTTCAAAATTTTGTTTATTGTTATGTTTTCTACGTTATAACAATATGCTTCCTACGCGCCACGATGCCACGAAAAAGATTGTTCACTAGTATTTTCATTAAACAACAAATTAAATCGGACAGTCACGTTATCGTTTCGACGAAGAGTTGCATTTTTTAATTTTAAATATGTATCAGGTTTCGGACACTTCACTAACGCCTCGACATGATCACAAATTAAACACTTTTTGTCGTCAGATAATTTAATTTTTTTTTTTTAATTAAAGAGAACGACATTATTACTCAGAAAATTACACGACTGCAAAGTAAACCAGCACATGTAGAATCGAGCAAAACTGATTAACAACTGAAAAATAATTTTCAAAATGAGCCAAAAATTCTAAGGTAGGGTTGAATTTTCTATTTGGAAGGTTGTAAAAATTGTTTGACAGGAAAAAAAATAGAAGAAGAGTTAAACGTACAATTTTTTCAAAATACGAAATAAGTCCCTTTACCTATTTGTATTCATAGTGCAAAAGAAAGAAAGTCATAAAAAAAATTCATATTTATAGTACTTACCCTCAATATTAGAAAAAAAATGTTTTCCTTATTTTTGTTAAATGGAGAAAGGCTTGGATATTTTTGAAATCATAAAATTTTATAACCCCAGTAAGCCTACTATGTTAATTGTAACAGGTAGAAATTTTTCACGGATCACGACAAGCGCATTTGGCCTTTTTATCGTATTGAAAAAAAAAAGGTTGAAGAAGATTTTACTTCTCAGGCAGTATCTGACAATAATTTTTTCATGAATAAAAATAAATGTTAAAAATAAATTTTTCTGTTAACTTTAATAAATAAAAATGTTATCAAAAGTATCTAAAAAAGTAAAAAAAATCACATGATACAAAACTATTAATCGGCAAATATAACAAAGTGTTATGAAAAATGTTAATAATAATTTTTTAAAACTTATTACCTCTGAAAAACAGCAAAAAATTGATTAAGCGCGGCATCGGGCTTTCTCTTACCCATCTTATACATTGAGTTGGAAGTGAGATAGAAGTACTTCTCTCTAAAAGTACACGCGCGTAGGAAGCATATTATTATAACGTAAAAAAAAACATAACAACAAACAAAATTTTGAAAATGTATTTAGGTTATTTTGTTTATTATAGTTCGAATATTCGGAAAAAAAATTAAAATTATAGCATTTTAAATTTTAAGGTATATTATTTAATTCAAGAAAATTAGAATTTTCGTCAATTTCGGATTTTAAAAAATTTATAACAATTAAAAGGTTAAAGATACGATGATGGGCGTAGGGACTTTTTTATTCAGAATATCCTAAAGAATATAAAAAAAATTAATTCATTGCAAAAAATGCATTTTTTCAGGAAAGCCTTCCGGACATTTAAAAAAAAATTACGAATTAAACCAATTTTGCAAACGAATGCGCCACTATGCCCTGCACTAACTGGGGTTGGTACATCTGTAAAATCTCATCAATTTGCACTTTGATACGTTTAGTTGCAGAAGGTTTGATTGGCACCAGGATACAAAACTATTCAGATCAACTGTAGATAATTAATGTCTAGTGACACTGGCAGAAATATTTTTATATCATCTTCATATATGAAAAAATGTGAATACTTAAAACACGAAGATATGTCGCTTATAAATAATATGAATAACACAGGACCAAAATACGAACCCTATATAGCACCCGAGGTTACAATGACTTCGCGTGATATTGACCCGCAAATTAGAATACATTGTCGCCGATTCGTAAGATAGGACTTGATCCAACTAAGATAACTTCCTGATATTCCAATATCGGCGAGTTTCTCAATCAAGAGAGAATGATAAACTCTATCGAAAGCTTTAGATCGATCTGCATAAATAACATCTATTTCCCCCTTCAATACAGGTAGTGAGAAATTCCTGGAACACTGCAAGATTTGCAGTTGTGGATCTGCCTCTATAGAATCCATGTTGATTGGGAATAATGTAGTGTTTAAAACAGTTAAAGATTTCATCTGTCAGTATGGATTCAAAAACTTTCAGGATTGCGGAGACTAAATGAAATTTCACGGTAGTTCCCAACGTTAGTTTTGTCACCTGTTTTAAAAAGTGAAAATAAGTTAAGTTCTATTTCAATATTATTTTTAGGTTCCTAATATGTTCTATTCTGATGATTCCATATGTTCTTGTAATGTCTATTGGAAAATAAAGATTATTATTGTTATTATTAATAATCACAAATTCTTCATAATTCTGAAAATTCAACGTCCTAATACTTTTTAAGATATTGTTGTGTTTGTTTATTTTAAACAAAAGTTTATTTGTTAATAATGTAAGGGTATGTCGCCAGTCATACATGTAAGAGGCCATGTATTTAATATGTAAAAGACCATATAATGACAGGAAAGAGAAGAAGAGTGAATAGGTTAAATTTTTTGATTATCATCATGGTTGTACTGATTAAGCAGCGTAATTTATGTTTTATGTTTGGTGAAATAAAGTTTTAAAGTCATCCATCAAATTTATTTTGTATTTTCGGCCATCCCTTACAATCTCGAAAGTGGGATTACTTAATATTCATCAAGTAAACTGTTTATGGTAATATTTTTTTCTACACGCGATGTCTATTCATGAAGAAAGTTTTAAGGTGTTTTGTCGACAATAAAACAAAACAGAACAGAACAAAACCAGCAGCCTGATCTTACACAGTTTATGAACACTATTTCAACAGTTGTAGCTCATAATGCAGAACTAATCAATATGCTTCAAATTAAAAATACTTCAGAGTCAGAGAGGAGACCAGAGGTAACCAAGTTTAATGTATTACCAGACTTGTCTAAAACAGTGGAACAATTTAACGGAGAAAGAGGCCCAGAGCCGCCAAATCATGGATAACGCAGTTATAAACCTCTTCAGTACTTCACAACTGGCTAGAACCCCTCACATAGCAAATGGCGGTGAGTAATTTAATAGGTGTACCCAAACACTGATTTAATGGTAGAAGAGAAGACAAAACATTGGAGACAATTCAGGTATGCTTTTAAGAAAACATTTATGTTCACGGCTTCTAAAACAGACCTTTGGAGTAGAATGCAAGCTAGAGTTCAACAATATCGCGAAAATATAAGCGCATATTTCCATGAAAAAGTGGCCCTTTGTTCAGAACTGTCACTTTTATCTGAAGAAACCAAGGACCAGTGATAAGTCTAGTAGAGCTAAGCAACTCTATAATTTCAAAATGTCATGACGATACTGAAGAAATTTTTCGAGACATCATAAACGTTGAAGGAATTGACAATGCCAGAAGAGAAAGGTACAGAGAAAAGAAAGAGATAGCAGATAAAAGCAGGTTGGAAATTAAGAAAACCAAAAGTGAGTGGAAACAAGAGTCTGTTATTTCAAAGACAATTAAGTGTTATACCTGTGACGAAGAGGGACATAAAGCTAATAATTGTCCCAAACTGAGGAGAGCGAGTAGTTCCTGTTACAAATGTGGATCAACAGGCCACCGTAAGGCGAATTGCCCTCAGAACCGCTTAGTCAAGGAAGAAAAATCTTCAGCCAACACTGATAATGCTACTTTACTAGTAGAGACATCGAAACCACCCTCTGCTTTTATGGTGCCAATAAAACTACGTAAGCTTGACTATTATTTTC